AGAAGACAGCAATCAACAAAGGTTGAACAAGAGCAGGAAATGAGAAAATACAGACAGAATATACAGAAGCAAACGAGTGAGTAAGGAGTAAGTAATAGTAGTAGTAGTAGTATTAATAGCGCCGACAATTAGGAATATGTAGAAGACCTAGTAATGACAATGGGAAAATGAGCAAGTGAAAGGAATATGTGGCACAACGAAGAATATAGTAGGGAGATATAGTGAACCAGAGAGACCAGTGAATGACAAAGAAGTCAAGACAATCACTGAAATCCAACAACAGACGAACAGATGGGTAGAACACTTTGCGAAACTGTTGAATAGACCAGCTCCACTGAACACACCAACATCGAAGCAACATACACAGACATTCTCATAGGTGCCACTTCATCAACAAACGAAGAAACCAGCATTGTCATCGGACAGATCAAGTTTGGATAGTTGGTAGTACCAGACAACATAACAGCTGAATCAATGAAATTATGCATAGAATTAAATGCAAAGATATTTTAGGTTCTCTTCAACAAGAATAGGGAGGAACAAATAGAGCAGAATGGAAAGAATGATAACTCATCAACATACCAATGAAAGGAGATATGAGCAAGTGTGAGAACTACACAGGCATCACACTACAGTCTGTACCAGGAAAGGTTTTCAACGGAGTGTTGTTGAACTGGATGAAAGATTCAGTAGACGCACAAATTCATGACCAATAGGTTTGATTTCGTAAGGATTGATCGTGCACAGAACAATTTGTGACACTACAAATCATTGCTGAGCAATCGATTGGATGGAACTCGTCACTATACATCAACGTCCTTGACTATGAGGAAGCATTTAACAGCGTGGATAGGAGATAACCATAGAATCTTCTTCGACATTATGATATATGTGAAAAGATCATCAACATCATATGCAATTCATTAGATACAATATCGTGCTGTCAGTACACCTCACATTTGCATTGCAGTTAAGGGTCAGTGTCAGTCAAGACTGCTTTATTTCATTCTCTCTATTTCTTCTAGTGGTCAACCAGATTATATAGGCCCACACATGTAAGAGAAGTAAGGAATACAATGAACAGCCTGGATGCAACTTGTAGTGTCAGTTATTATGTTAAGCCCATTCATTCTACTTGATCCATACTTTGACCTTGTTATATATTCGCTTATCAATCTAGACTTTTTATATGAGCGCATATGTGTGTGCCCTTCTTATCCCATTAATCACATGTCTATAGCTTTATTTTGTCTGGCTATAAATATTGAGTAATGCTTGGCTAAATACGAGTTAGCTTACCAGCCATCTCTACTGCGCATCATTTTTGGCTTCACCATGTACTCGGTTGCTGTACGCTTGCGGATTTTTATTAATCATTAACAATAAATTATCTCTACAACTGGTGTTCGGGCTTTTAAATAATCTCGCGTAAAATCCATAATTCTACCAGGAGATTTAGCCTGCATTAAATACTCAGTTTACGGGATATTATTTATTGGAGTCAGATAAAGAGGACATTAGCCTCAACATATTGGTGAGCCGCCGTTTCATCAAACTTCACAGATGCAATACAGAGTAACAATAACAGGTGAAAACAGTTGACATAGCAGCAGCCTGTACAACAGTAGTCCTCAATATACACGAAGATAAATGCATGATCCTGAAATACAACACGGAGAACGTCAACTTAATTTTACTTAATTTGAAAGCTTCGAAACATGTTGAAACTTTCACGTATCTGGTCAGCATCATTGATGAACGGGAATGATTCGATGTAGATATAAACGTAAGGCTAGGCAAATCAAGAGCGATATTCTTACAGTTGAAGAACACAAGGAACCCAAAATAACTGTCAATCAATATCAAAGTCATAATCTTCAATACTAACGTCATGACAGTTCTACTGTATGGAGCTGAAACTTGGAGAACTGCCACAACTACCATCAAAAAGGTACAAGTATTTATAAACAATCGTCTACGTATATTACTGAGTGTCCGTTGACCGGATACCATCAACAACAGCCTACTGTGGAAGAGAACAAACCAGGTTCCAGATGAAGAAGAAATTAAGAAGGTACGTTGAAGGTGGATAGAACATATCTCACTGGAATCATCACTTCGAATCGGGAAGGAATTCCTAACTTGGAATAATGAAGTTAAAAGGAAAAGTTGAAGACCAAGTAATACAATGAGTCTAGAACTGGAGATAGACATGAAAATGAGTAGCGATTGACAGTAGTCGAACGGAGGAGTCTGGGAAAATGTAGTTGTGATAATCCTGGTCGGTGGCCTACAATCTTTGAGAGTTAAAACGATTAGATAACTGTTACACTTCCAGGACTGAAACTATAAGCCAAAACTTTTCTGTTAGTACTTTATTATTATGAGAAATAAATAAAAGATCATGAATTTACAGATGCCTAAAGCCGAATTCTCTTTATCCTATCGACACATCCGAAAGTACGCCCAAACAGTCAGTGAGTTTCTAAGCTGACTGAATGTTGATAAAATTAAAATGTCTAGAAGATATGACGGGGATTAACGGGAATTTATAATATACTGTGTTTCAGGAAAAGAAAGGTCGGTTTGAATGGGATTATACGAAGTATTGAACGATGAAGGATGGAAAAAACTATTCAAATGTAGAATTGATACCATAATCGCATGAGATTATAGAGTAATTGCTGCAAGTTATGTAGCCAGTAGAAGTACTTCAGGTATATATATATAAACAAATAAAACATAAACTACTGTTCATTTGTTAGTAGTACAGCGACCAATCAAAAAACAACCTAAGAGGGATTAAAGTTAGCTTCTAAAAATACCAGTTCTTATCACAATTCTTGTAATTTATTTTATATTTTAATACTATTCTGCTCAACATTAGAGGCTACGTAAGGAGAATTTTTCTTGGTATTCCGATTGTTGGGACATGTTCATTCAGTCCTGATCTGCATGGAAAATAATTCTTACTATATGAAGTAACTGATAGATGGATGCTTCTTACGAATTCGCCCATTTATTGTAAGTAGAAAATCATCGTGATCAATTTCACATCACTGGTATAATTTATGGTAAAGACTGAAATAAACGACAGTTAGAGAGACTATAAGGACCAGTGATTTTCGTTTACTAAAATATTCTACACAGTATCTAATAAAGTATGCAATGCAGTGAAAGTCTCAAATCTTAAACATCTGTACGAACACATCAGTCCTCAAATATTTACTGATAAGAATGAACCACGCTTGCTTTTGTCACTGAATTAAACAGTAGTATGGTCTATACTTCAAATAATGGAATTATCATAAATTAGAAAATAAGTTCTGAAAAGCTGACTAATCTTAATGTGGGACCGAAATCCAATAATAAGTCATCAGTAGCTTCACTGATATAACTGCTTACCGTAGATAAAAATTTTTCTCACTAGCTAGTGGCAAGAATTCGAACTCGTAAGATTCTGATTTTAATACTCGTTTAATAACATTGGAAATATTTTGTTACTACAAGTAATCTTGATAGAAAATTCACTTTGTTGTTGGATAAATCAACTAATAGGACTTTGTTCATTTAACCGTTCTTTCTTATTTTTAGTAAGGAATTTGCCATAGTTGACCACTATCACAGATCATAGATGTATTTGATTAGGTTACATACTGTAAATATTTATAAAGTTGTGGTCTTTCAAGCTTGTTGATTAAATATTTTGATACCTACTAAGAAATAATATTCAATGTGAGTTCATGAGAAAACGCTATTATTAGACTGTATTTTCTAAATAAATGAAGGGAAGTCATGGTGACTTGTACTCAAATGAAAACATTTACTTGGTCAAATCGAATTGGGTTGCCATGATATTAATGACTTAGCAATTCCACTGATCCTAAGAGATAGTGGATAATTAATTTAAACATTGAGTTACTTAAGGAAAGAGTATGAATTCAAGAGACTGAATGATCAGTTTTAAAATAATGGTCGATGTCCCAAATAAGGTGAAATGGTAGCTATCAGTGTTGAACTTATAGAAACACACAACTAGTTCAGTAATTTCATAAAATGTATGTAAAGTGACTACAACTTCATAGACAATCGGTTTACTCTTTCATTAAATTCGATTATACGAAGCATTTATCCATTGAAGTTATATCTACAACAGTTTTTGGCTTCATATCTGAGAATGATAATAACAAAATGCTGCAAACAACTGTTAACATATAATATAATTTCAGCTTTCGGTTAGTCAAACGATAAAACATCTTTTTCCATAGAAGATAGATATTTTAAATTGGGATACCTAAGCGCTTTTGAGTATAGAATTCGAAGCAACCTTACGCTTCTACCAGCTAGATCGAATACCATTATAAACATATGTACATCTAAAAATGTATCTGCCATTCTTAACAATAACGCAAAACCATAAAATGATTTGAAAAGTCAAGAATTACCCTAACAAAAAATTATGAAAAGTTTACCTCACAACAAAATGAATATTTACCATTTAAAATCCACTTCAAAGTATAATCAAAACGCTTATAAGCATTTGGTAGAAAACATCAATAAAAATTTAAAAAAACTGTAAAACGATTGTAATGACTTAACAAAACAAACAAATGAACTAAATGTAAAGAACTTTTTTTAAAAAAAAGTCGAATATTTCAAGGAATAGATGCTTTTATTATGTTGAATTTTGAACAAATTAATTAATCTAATAATAATAATAATAATAATAGTAGTAATAATAACAATCCCTAGTAACTCTTATACCTAAACATTTTTAAATAGCTGTAATATGTTGTTGTCAATATATTTCAATTTTATTCATTACTATTAATGTTACTGTTTGTTTGAAATAAAATAAAATAAAATAAAATTACTTCTTTTGAACTTTTAAAAATATTATTTTGAAAGTTTATTATTTCTAGAATTTTATTCGAAAAATTTGATCAATATGGAATATAACATATTTATCGATGGTAGTAGTAGTATATTATTATTATTTTTTAACGTGATGTAGTATTGAATTGGGTGAAATAATGACCAGTTGGTTGGTTTGTATATAGCTGAAAAATGATTACAATTAAAAAAATATGGAAAATAATGAATAATTTAGTTAAAACAAACATGATAGTAATTGCATAATTTAATATTAAGATTTATATTATAAAAATGATAGTTAATCATTACAAAATGATATTAAATAGAAAACTAGGGCATGCTATACAATAATTTCATTTTGTCTGGAACTTTCCAATGATATATCCCTATGATTTTGTGGATGGTCAAATCTATAGGTTTAGCTATAAAATTTCAGACTATAGAGTTGATATCAAGTGATCCATATGAACAACTTCAGCCATTTTATGTTATGAAAAGATCCTTATCTTAACATTTAGCGAATATCTATAAAACACTCAAGTTATCGTTTAATTGAACGATTTTATTGTATTGAGAATGAATTATGAGTAATCAGAAATATATCTGTATACATATACTCCTACTGTTCATACTCTTTCAGTAGTAAATTTCAACAATTAATAAGCTTTTTTTTCAATTTAATAGTTGAATTCATAAGTCAATTGAAGCTAAACCACCACAGGAGACCTGGAAACACTGGATGGCGGTTTCGTCCTAGTATAAGACTCCTCAGCAGTGTGCATCAATGAATCCAACTATTAAATTACTAAAATCTCCACAAAACCCTCTTCTATAATAATCATCGTGTACTCATTGGTGATTGGCTTCAATAGGTATTTCTTGGAGTTCTAGTGAGAAGCTATGACCAGTGAAGTTCAACAAGGTCTGTTGTGAGATAGTAACTCACTGAAGACAGTGGTAGACGGTGGCGCATTTTCGTGAATTGGTTGAAATTAGACATTAATACCGTTGGATGCCAGCTCAGTGGTCTAATGGTTAAGCGTTCGCGCACGAGATTGATGGGTCCTTGGTTCGAACCCCGTAGGGCGGGGTCGTGGATGTGCGCTACTGAGGAGTCCCATACTAGGGCAAAACGGCCTTCCACTGCTTACTGTTTTCCTATGGTAGTCTGGCATTAACTGACGTATGGATTCAATTATTAAATTACTAAAATTTCCACAAAACCCTTTTCTGAAAAAATATTGCTGAATACGTTATGAATATACTTTGTAGGAATTAAATTGTTTTATCCATAGATAATAAGGTTTAACTGACTATACAAAAAAATCATCAGCAAAATTGATTATGTTGAAATGACCTAAATAAAACACTTTAATTGTATAGATTTTAATATTTCATGTTTACTTAGTAATTATTCCTTAAAAACTATAGAACAGAAACTTGTAAGTATATCTAATACCAGTGCTATTATGTGTCCTCTTAAATTAAAATTATAATATATCACCTCTCTGATCACACCCTAATAAAAGGAAAAAATGTTTGCCTTCTATTTTTTGCATCTTTTCTGCATTTTTCCATCTAAAAGTATTAATTTTAAACTTAAATACATTTAATGCTTTGTTTTAGAAATTTACAGGGTTATATATATATATATATTTTCGATGTTATATGACAAGTGAAACAGTTTCACATTTAAAAGAACTCAATGTAAAACAAATAGACATTCTTATAAGTAATAAATTTAGATAAATGTAAGAGAATCTTGATCATTCGGGAATGATAACATTAACTTAAATCTTTAATTTGGCTTGTAATAAAAATGATGAATATAAAATCATCAGAAAAATTGTTTGTCAAATGCGTTTTTTTGACATTCGCCTTTATTTTTCATTTTCATAAAGTTGAATTAAGTTAAAAGATCAATACTTTGGTTACTAACGTAATCTGACGTTTATAGGATAAATATTCATGAAACCCATTTTAAACTGAGGTATACTGGTTGTAATTCTTTAGTGATATATATATATATATTTATATATATATTATGCTTGAAATCTTTTTTCTCAACACTATTTGTCATTTAATTCACCTTGTAGGCTTGTAAACGTTTCTCTTCCAAGTTCATTCATAACACATATCTTAATATTTAATTTATTTTTGGTCATACATTTTAACACCAATTGTCTGATACAACCGAAAGATTTATAACGGGAAAATTTAAAACGTTTTGCATTTTTCTGTTTCTCATTTTGTTTGATTTATATACCTTGATTTAACTATCATTTCATTTTGAATGTAGATTTTTCATTTAAAATGATATTAAGGTGCTCAACAAAGTCACTAAAATATTCCATCTAACAGAAAAAACCAATCGCACAAGATTTTATATAAGTGCGATATATCGCTTCAAGTTACTTTTTTGCACCAGAGCAAGAAAAGAAAATCAACGACATGAAATAAAATTAATGATGATAGAGAATATAATTAGTTCGGTATAAAGAAAATCAAAGAGTGGTAATGGCTAAATAATATTCAAACATAGGAGTTTCAGGGTGATGATTGATAAAAATTGTACTAGTAACATAATATTTCAACCGTGTAACATAAGGCCTTTAATCAAAGAGGAGGATCACCTCTCGAGACTCAATAAACAAGTCTATATTTTATGGTACAGCTCAGACTGGAAGACAGACATTTCACCAGTAGGTGCCATTTTGTTTTTTGGTCAGCAGAAGTCCTTTTTTAGCTGATTACTGTGATAACAATCAAAACAAAAAAATCATGGTGATGGTTACTTAGGCAGCCATAGATAAAAATAATCTTATTATCAATGTTTTATAACTTTGAATTGAAGGGAAGATAATTTTATATGCATTAAAAAACGACTTCACAACTTACTTCTTTGTTCAAGTAATCTTGAAAAGCTTTCTGTTCATGAGCTAGCTGAAGATTTTTTTCAGCTACTTTTCGATTTATTTCACGTGTGGATCGTTCAATTTCTCTTTCTATTAACAAGCCTAGTCTAGATGATTTTAATAGTTGATTATCCCATTCTTCATCTTCTTGCTTTTGTCTTGCTAACTGACGCTTCCATAAACAAATAAATAAAGATAAGAGATTTTCATTAGATGTTGGTCTAATTTATTGAGTACTGTATACCAATAACTCGTTTGTAGACTGATAACTTTCAGGCGACGGTCATGTTTCATGTAAAAACTCGAATGCAAATCCATAATAAATGTAATAAATTTAAAGTAACAAATAATTAACTAGTAAATGGAAGAATCTACAAATCTTACTTATTTTTATCTCGAAATGGTCATTGTTTAAATTGACTAACTAATAAACTTGAAAACTTATTATATTAAAACATTTTCAGCAACATTAATCTTCTGTGCTTATCAGGAGGATAAGTTAAAAATTCATTTTCGCGTTGATAACCATGGTGACCTAATGTTTTATCTGACTTTTGTTCTAAAGAATGATCTTTTAGAATGAGAAATTTAATAATTTTAAGTTCTTTTATTTACATTAACAGTTACAGACGGCTAATATCAACAGGATATTTGTAAGTTGTAACAGTAAAATATACTTGAATTTGTTGAAATAATATTGCGTGAAAAATGAACGAAACGTTATCTGATATATTTCTTAAATTTTGTGCCGTTTCGTTTTTGTTTGTGACCAAAGCAATCTCTATTTACCTTTATTTTAACGAATAAGAATAATTTTGTCATTAAATGCACAAAATAATGCATAATATTTAGCCATTTTCTCACTAGGTTGAGCTGAGCAAACGCGCATCCTCAATGCTTATAATCAGTAAACTTCCTAAAGCGATGTGTTAGAAAACCTATATGAACGTTTGGTTGAATTTTGAATGCTTTAAACTCAATATTACTGCTAACCAATCTGATACCTCTCTTTCTTTCATTTGCTCCTCCTGAGATTTACGAATATCTTTTATTTGTTCAAGTGTCATTCCTTTGTAACGGTCGGGAATTATTCGATTAGTTCCAAAAGCAGATATTGCTTGAGCAGGATTCTCGCTAAGGAAATCACCATATATTGCATTGCATATCTCTGTCATATTGTCATCTTCTGTTTGTTTGGCTTTTAGAAGAGCTTTTTGGTCACTTTCTTCTTTTAATAATTTGTTATATCTCTGCATGGCTACATTTATTGCTCGTCGGCATTGTTCCTCAGCTTTTTGAAGTTCACATGCACGTTGATCTAATTCTCTTCTTTTAAGATCATACAATCTAGGTGTTTTCGAAATTCAGATGAAAAAAATTAAAACATTTCAAAATAAGAATCACCTTACTAAAAATAGAAATGACCAAGTAGTTCTGCTCATATTTCAACTAATATTCATTCAATAACGTGTTCCTTACTTCTGCTGCGTAAAATAGGCGAAAATGTAGTAGGGTCTAGTTTATTTGCGGTTAATTTAAACCAGTGATATACAAGTCAAAAGAAAGTAAACACCCAGTTTTCATGCTTGATGAATGTATATCTAATAGTCTATTGACAAATATAAAGAATTGGTTATCAGACGGTCTTGTAATTAAGCAAAGTGAAATTGTACACCATTGATACTAGGCTATATAATACTGAAAATCAAAATGTTTCAGATTATCTGCTTACATATGTAGGCTTAACAAGCAGGAAACTCTATAGCAACGCACATGTTTGTGGGCATTCAAACAAGTGGTGGCGAAGCAGTTAGTTTGATTATGTCTGTTGATGAAATAATTTCTATGAATAATCATCGAAAAACTGTATCCGCACAAAGATTTTTTTTTGGTAATTGCTACTGGTTATCAATTTTAATTATTACGTTTTCAGAGTAACTACAACCTATTTCACAAAAAGCAGCCGGGTAAACTGTTGTCGAACTTAGTCAGATTTTCTAATTAAATGCTTTATGTATTACCAGGGGCTGGGGTCCCCAAAATCAAAAGTACTTATTATTTTATCTTTTGTTTGGCTTCCTATCACCGATAAAGTTTTCAGAGAGAAGAGGTAAAACAACCTGAATACTGCAGTATTATAAGGCATTATAACACAAGTGCAAGACGAACTGATTAAATTTTACAAGAATGAAATAAGACTACCTGAGATGTTAAACTGACAAAACAAGACTTGAGTGAAAAAGAGTCGAATCATCTGTTTAAAGTTGATCTTTTTTGCTCAGAATGTCACCACACAAATGTCTTGTAAACCACTAGGAATATTAGGTTGTGCAATTGTTTTATAAGGGATGCTATTCAATTTTCAAGGCATACCAAACAAGTTGATTAATTAAATGAGTAATTCGTCGTTGATTTTGCTTTTAAACGTTGCTAAATTCGTACAAAGCAAAATAATGAGTTGACAAAATATATATATCTATTTCAGACAATATACGTTTCAAAAGACCTTAAACATTGAGGTCTCATGCTAACAAAACTTAGTAAATTGTTTCTAGTATTATTCTGTAGCTGATTATAAAATGCAAAAACGAAAGAAAGCGCTTCTAGTAATAACCACTATTAATAAACATCGCTAACTACCAACAAAAAGGCAACTAGTTAGTCAAAAATTCACTTAGAATGAATTTTCATATTGTTCTGGTGCTGGAATCTGGCTTAGGCATTAGATTGACAGACAAAGACGATTACCTTTAAATGAGCAAGCCAGTCGTTCCGGCTGATGAAGAAAAAATCACTGAAAACACATTACTAGGCCTAAATAAATTTATATTACTGCATTTTACATTGTAAAATGTTCAGTATAGTTTGCAAGAGACATGTTAATTCCGTACGACATTATACTCATTTTGAACAAGACCCGACACAGAACGTGATCGTTGAATTCATCCAACTAACTTGTGTTGAGTCGTGTGACCGATTTAAATGCCTATACTTACGGTATCTTTTGATTGTTTATCCATCTATTTATTTAACTGTTAACTATATTTCATTACTCTATTGATATATAAATATTTGGCACACGTTGATTAGGTGACAGGTTGGACAGTTTGAACTCATATCAATAAAATGCCAAAGAGACGTGCATAATATAGTCATGGATTTGTTTCTGCTCCGATACAATTGCTGGTAATTTTAGTGCCAGTTTTAATATAAGTAAAATATAATTAATGAAAGATCTGCATCACAATTACTTTACTTCTGCTGCGTCGATCAAATTCTTTTGTGACTCTACTGTACGTGTCGGTTAATTTAGTTGTTTATATATATTCAAGAACATAACATAATCCTTTGTACTGAAATTATTTAATTTTATCAGGGTGGATAAATTATTACTTACTCTTGGAATTTGATCACGTGATAGTTAAAATACCTAGATCACACTGTAGCGGTAAATAAATCCCCAAAATAAATAGCTCTGTAAGTTTTCGACATTGGATGCTGACCATATGTTTTAGTGGACTCATCTAGCTGAAGGCGCTCGGTCATGCATCCGCACCAGATCACGTGTGGTAACGCCGTGCTCAACATCAACCGCAATCGCTAGCCAGATTAGATCAGAGAATTCCGATATATTGGTCATCGCCAAATATACTCTTCCGATCTCCTCGACTCTGTCTTTTGATTTCTCTGGGTGGGAACGAAATACATTAGAAGGTGTTACTGGTAGAAGCGTTGTCAAACACTGAATACCTGTGACATCATAATTGGTGAGCCCGACCACCTGTATTTTCTAAAGCACGACGACTAGCTCCTGAAAAGCTAAGGTTAGCGAAAAACGAATTCGATCACATGATGGACTTAGGAATCATACGACCGTCAAGTAGCCCATATGCATCTCCGTTGCACATGGTCCCTAAAAAGGACAGCAACGATTGGCGTCCAACTGGTGACTATCGGCGATTGAACGCGAAAACCATTCCCGATCGTTACCCGTTGCCTCACATTCACGATTTGACAGCTACCTTGAAAGGTACAACTGTCTTTTCGAAAATCGACTTGGTTAAAGCGTATAACCAAATCCCTATGGCTACTGATGACATACCGAAAACAGCTATCATAACTCCCTTCGGACTCTATGAATTTTTGCGAATGCCTTTCGGTCTAAGGAATGCTGCTCAAACATTCCAAAGATTCATAGACGACGTTTTTCGAGGTCTCAACTTCGTACACGCGTATGTTGACGACTGTCTAATCGCAAGTCCGGACAGAGAATCACATCTCAAGCATCTGGACATTGTTTTCGATCGACTCCAAAGGCATGGCATTACTGTCAACATTCAGAAATGCCAAATCGGAACCAACTCCTTAGACTTCCTAGGACACACTATAGGTGCTCAAGGTATCCGACCCCTTAGAACAAAAGTGGCGGCCATTCTGAATTACCCAGAACCGACCACCGTCAAGCAATTACGCACGTTTATCAGCCTCGTAAGTTTCTATAGATGATTCATACCGAAATGCGCACTACTTATGAAACCTCTGACCGACCAACTTCGTGGAAATGCGAAATCCATTAATTTGGACGACACCGCACGAAAAGCATTCTCCACAGTTAAGGAACTGATTGCTAAAGCAACGATGCTCGCACATCAGGACACCCGAGCACCCATTAGCATCGCAGTAGACGCATCCGACTCGGCAATCGGAGGAGTCTTACAACAATGGGTTAACAACTCCTGGCAACCCTTGGCATTTTTCTCTAGAAGGTTGCTAGACACCGAATCGAGGTACAGCACATTCGGTAGGGAACTCCTAGCTATGTATTGTGCTGTACGACATTTTCAACACTATATCGAAGGCCGTGAATTCACTCTTTTCACGGACCATAAACCGCTCACTTTCTCGTCAAGCTCTCCTTCTGACAAGTACTCTCCCCGTGAGTCTCGACAACTGGACTACATTTCGCAGTTTACTTCAGACATACAACACATTTCTGGAGCAAACAATGTAGTCGCAGACGCCTTGTCTCGAATTAGCTCCTTGAACAGTTTCCAAGGAATCGACCTTCTTAAACTCGCTCAGCTTCAAAAAGAAGACATTGATCTTCAGCACGAGTTATCGTCCACAACACTTAAACTACGCATCAAACAGATGGGAACAGGTAAGGAAACCTTACTTTGTGACACATCTACAGGTAGGGATCGCCCAATCGTGCCGAAACATTGTCGACACAATGTCTTCGATATGTTGCACAAACTTTCTCATCCAGGTGTTCGTGCAACCATCAAGCTTATAGCAGAAAGGTTTTGCTGGCCTGGAATGAATAAAGACGTGAGGGAGTGGGCACGCTCCTGTGTAAGCTGCCAAAAATCTAAGGTTATCAGACACAATAAATGTCCCTTAGGCTCGTTTAAAACTCCCGATGCTCGTTTCGACCATGTTCATCTGGATTTGGTAGGACCTTTACCAGACTCAAATGGATACTCTTATCTCTTAACCTGCGTAGACCGTTTCACTCGATGGCCAGAAGCAGTACCTATCAAGGACATCACTGCTGAAACAGTGGCCCGCACCTTCGTCGAACGATGGGTAGCAAACTTCGGCTGCTCTTCAACTATCACTACAGACCGCGGACGTCAGTTTGAGTCTGAACTTTTCCGTCGTCTGACCACTTTTCTAGGAAGCACTCGCTCCCGAATGACTGCCTACCCTCACAAGCAAACGGGTTGGTAGAACGCTTTCATCGACAACTGAAAGCTTCGCTATCAGCTGCAAACGCTTCACAGTGGACCGACGCTCTTCCAAGCGTCTTACTAGGTATCCGCAATGCAGTGAAAGCTGACATTGGATACACTGCGTCTCAACTCGTTTATGGAACGACACTTCGACTTCCAGGAGAATTCGTGGATCCTTCATCCTCTTCAATGAACATGGATCTAACCTCCTACACGAACAGGCTTACAAACGCAATGCGTTCAGTTAAACCTGCTTCCACCCGACCACAATCAACTGATGTTTTCGTTCAACCTGACTTACGATATAGTACACACGTTTTCGTTCGTCGAGACTCGCATCGACGACCATTCGAATCAGCATACGAAGGACCTTTCAAAGTTCTTCAACGCGAACCGAAGTACTATATAGTCGATAAGAACGGAACAAACGATAGCATCAGCAACGATCGCCTCAAAGCAGCATAATTAGAAGGAAATCCTATCTACGTCGAGTTTCCTTCGTTACAATCGAACGACACGACTCCACTCATAATTCCTCAACCGACAGCCAACACTAGCGATGATACTCCGAATGTATCTGAAAATAAACTTAAAACGACGCGTTCTGGAAGATGAGTAAGATTTCCAAAACATTTGAACGACTACTGCACGTAAATCACTACTCGACATTTTATATTATCTCAATCTTTTTTTACGATATATATTTTTTTTAAAAAAAAAGAATTTTAATATGCTTATATATTTATTTTTTTACTTAAAAAAAAACATTTTTAACGCTATTATGTGTGCTTGAGTATATTTTCCATTTTTTGCGCCGACATTGTGTTTTTACGCACATACGAGTGTATTTCGACATGCACTTACACTTTCTTTTTTGTTTTCCAGGACGGCTGGAAAATAACGATGCAGTTTACGAGGAGTCGAAATTTTCGTTGTAACTCTTTCTTTTTTTACTATGTTGTACCTCGGTCCCATATAGTAAGGAAAGACGACCAGACGCTGCTACACTTAGTAAGCTATCAGAAGATTGTTTACCAACGACAAACTCGTTGGGTTTAAACTTCTGGCTGGCCACGTCTTAGGGTCGTCACTACCCCACTAGGGAGGGAGTGATCTGTAGCGGTAAATAAATCCCCAAAATAAATAGCTCTGTAAGTTTTCGACATTGGATGCTGACCATATGTTTTAGTGGACTCATCTAGCTGAAGGCGCTCGGTCATGCATCCGCACCAGATCACGTGTGGTAACGCCGTGCTCAACATCAACCGCAATCGCTAGCCAGATTAGATCAGAGAATTCCGATATATTTGTAATCACCAAATACACTCTTCCGATCTCTTCGACTGTGTCTTTTGATTTCTCTTGGTGGGTACGAATTATATTAGAAGGTGTTGCTGGTAAAAGCGTTGTCAAACACTGAATACCTGTGACATCATAACACTAACTGAACCCTTGTAAGAAAGTGGTTTTTATCGTGCTTTGTATAAACACAATCGATCTCTCAACCTAAATTTAAAATTATCTGGATTATCAAGAAGAACGTATTTTTTTATCACCAGGCTTATCTTCGCAAAAGTAACCAAAACTGGAGAGAACTGTACAGATCTTCTTTAGAGTAGCTCCAATTTAGAATTCCTGAAAATCTTGTGAAAAATTATAACTTAAAAGCCTTTCGCTGATTGAAACAAAAAATAAACAGCATGCAAAAATTTGGATTTGCGTTCAGATTCACCGCAAATTAACCGAAGTCAAAACACACAATACTTTCTAAATGTTCAAAATGTCTTATGGTCCTTGGATGAATTGAGTTATATAGGTTTAATTTAGTGTTACAACAAATGTGAACACCACTAAAATGTCGCATATCGAGGGAAAAGACTGTTAAATCTTTGCCTGTGTCTAACAGTTGTGTAGATAGTGTGAGTGGCTTATGAAAACTCATCTTCGAAACCAAACAAAATCCCTAAAAAATCATTCAATCTAAAAACTATAGTATTCTAAAAACGACCTCAGTACAATGAAGAGAAATTTTAAAATTTTAGTGCACAGACATATAACAAGGTCATAAAAGATCACTTTTTTCACAAAAAACTCCAAATAAGTAAAAAGCTAATAAGGAGTAGTCACTCCTCACTGACTCCTCGAGGAGCACATAGATTTATATTTACCTGTCTGCTTCCTTCTTGGCATTTTCGGCCCTATTCCTTTCCTCAATCTGTCTGTCAAACCAGTTTTGCAACTGTTCTCGTTGATACTTCATTCTAGCCTTTAAATTCAAATCTTCACCATCAAACTTTTGAAGAGAGGCAACGCCACATCGAGGGTCATCATCAGAAACACGAGCAGGACGGTCTAACTTTAATGCATTGGGATCGTAAAGGTCAAATTCTCTTCTTGACTCAGGCTGCTGATGAACAGATCTGAATTCATTAAGATTCTTTGCGAGTTCTCTCTCATCGTCATGTTGTCGTTTCTCAAATAAGCACGCAATCTTGTCGTTGCGCGCTGCATCAGCAGCTAAGCCCCATATAAATAAACAATTATCAATTTACCATATGCTAAATCACGTTGTTTCTCGTCTAGCTCTCGAAGTTTTTTCTCCTCCACCTGATGTTTAAGAGCTTCGTCATCAATCTGTAGCATAGTGAATTCAATGAACTTTTAGAAATTACTCCAATTTGACGAATACGGGAGTCAAAAATACGTGCTTGACGCTCTTTCTCTCTTCTCCTTCTTAATTCAATCGCTGCTGCCTCTTTAGTATCTATCGGCAAATCAAGTTGATACATTAGACCCGACGGCCGTCAACTTTCGTAATCGTACCCTCTCGGTTGTTATAGTAATATGGTACATAACACTATGAGCAGTAGATATCATGATTTTGAATTGTCAGAATTATCTGCCTTTCAATATTCTTTACAATATTTCTGTTGTAAATAGTTGGGATGTTTGCTTGATGCTTGGATTTCCTCATTGTAGTTAGTCTTCATTGGATAATGGATTGATAACAACCACGAGTGACTGTCTATATTTTTAACTTACTGTTCAATGTATGAGGTTCATACATAAAAGGGGATCGTTCTTATATCATGTTGCTAAACCATTTTGTCTAAAAGATGCTACAAATATTCAGGGATTGACAAAAGTTTTGTCTGTAGGACATTAATACATTATAGACCACAACTCAGTCGGGTCAAAAGTCAGAGATGAATGAATCCGATGATATATTTTGAAAGTTGCCAATACACTAAGAAGCATTTGATCCGGTCTGGCCAGTAGTTCCAAGGTAGGCGGACGGACGAGAACCGGTGCTTTCAACGTGGTATGGTCGCTGTCACAGACTATTCTCTCGTGATCTTGTGCGGATGAGTGAACAAGTACCTTTAACTAGGGTATGTCCAGCTATAATTGCGAGGTCAGTATAAATATCAAAGATTTACAAGTTCATTCATTTGTGGGTTTATTTACTGCTATAGCTCATTCCTTCTTGGAGGGGTTGTGATGAATCTAAGACGCGATGAACCAGAAGTTTACACCCAGCAACTATGTCTTTGATAAACACTATTCTGATGGCTTGCTATGTTCAGCGGCATCTGGTTGTCTTTCTTTGGCACAAGGGGCTATGTGGAACAATATAACAATAAAAAATGTACAAATAAAGTTTTGACTCATTGTATTGTAGCGGTAAATAAATCCCCAAAATAAATAGCACTAAGTTTTCGACATTGGATGCTGACCATATGTTTTAGTGGACTCACCTAGCTGAAGGCGCTCGGTCAGGCATCCGCACCAGATCACGTGTGGTAACGCCGTGCTCAACATCAACCGCAATCGCTAGCCAGATTAGATCAGAGAATTCCGATATATTGGTCATCGCCAAATATACTCTTCCGATCTCCTCGACTCTGTCTTTTGATTTCTCTGGGAGGGAACGAAATATATTAGAAGGTGTTACTGGTAGAAGCGTTGTCAAACACTGAATACCTGTGACAACATCATTGGTGAGCCCGACGTGATCTGGTACACCTAATTGCAACTGTGAGTCTGTTCCTTTTTGGGATTTTTATATATCATTGCCTTATTTTTTTAACTTTTTTAAACATTGTGATTTTTTTTCGTGTTTTTTCCTGGATATATATATTTTCCCCTTGTTCATTATCGTACTTCATACTTCATCATGACTGAACAGACACCTAAAGTACTCAAGCTTAAGACTTTGTCCCCGCCTTCGTTTCAACTGATGCCTTTCTGGCCCGACAACATCGAAGCCTGGTTTTGCTACGCAGAAGCCGACTTCTCCGAGCACGGCGTGATCGACACACGTGCGCAATTCCTCGCAGTAGTCAAGGCACTACCGCGCGAATTCAACAGGTACGTAACACCTAGTATGTTTACTAGTGATGTTTCCGATCCTTACGAAATCTTAAAACGCTCGATTCTTAAACGAGGAGACCTAACCGATCGACAAAGGTTAGACCAACTCTTCAACAATATCGACCTGCAACATGGTTCTGCGACAGACATGTTGCAACGGATGAGAGAGGTAATAGGCCCAAGAACTTTCGACGAAGGCCTATTCAAACAACTCTTCTTGTCAAAACTTCCCCAACAGGTGCAAGCAGTTCTGGTCTCGTTCCAGAACAATGCCTTAGACGAGCTAGCTGCATCTGCCGACCGCATATTAGAAATTACGAAATCTACTACCGAGGTATTTTCAGTCAAAGAAAAACCTCAAGCGACTCAGAATGATATAAACGACTTATGTCACACACTCACGCGTTATCTTAGTCTTCGTAACGACCGTAAGAGATCGCGCACACCACGTAGAAGCATTTCTCGTAAGCGATCTGTCTCTAGACCACGAGAGACAGATAACCCCGACTGGTGCTGGTATCATAACCAGTATGGAAAGTTTTCCAGAAATTGCAGAAAACCCTGCAATTTTCCCAACACGAAACCGACTGATTCGAAAAGCAATTCGGGAAACTTCCAAGCCGGCACGCGTTAACGGCAACCGTAGCCGGCGAACAAAGCCGTCTGTTATTCGTCACAGATGTGACAACGAGAGTTCGTTACCTCGTCGACACTGGCGCAGAAGTTAGCGTTCTCCCAGCAAATCCTAACGACCGACTACACGAATCGACCCTAAACTTACAGGCGGCAAACGGAAAACCGATCGCTACGTATGGCAAAAGGTACGTTTACCTTAACGTGGGTTTACGCAAACCCATCCACTGGATTTTCGTTATTGCAGATGTTTCTATGCCAATCATTGGTATGGACCTTCTACAACACCACAATCTGATCATCGACACGCGCAAACGGAGGCTAGTAGACGGAAACACTAATTTGTCCGTTTGCGTAACTTCCTTTACTGGTTGTAGAGTATCCCCAGTCACAGTTAAACATATGATAGACCCACTCTATCAACCACTACTCGATAAGTACCCTGGGATACAACAAACTCAACCGAAACTACCGTGTGTAACCAGCAATGTTACACATCACATCACGACTACAGGACCACCTGTATTCTCTAAAGCACGACGACTAGCTCCGGAAAAGCTAAGGTTAGCGAAAAACGAATTCGATCACATGATGGACTTAGGAATCATACGACCGTCAAGTAGCCCATATGCATCTCCGTTGCACATGGTCCCTAAAAAGGACAGCAACGATTGGCGTCCAACTGGTGACTATCGGCGATTGAACGCGAAAACCATTCCCGATCGTTACCCGTTGCCTCACATTCACGATTTGACAGCTACCTTGAAAGGTACAACTGTCTTTTCGAAAATCGACTTGGTTAAAGCGTATAACCAAATCCCTATGGCTACTGACGACATACCGAAAACAGCTATCATAACGCATTTCGGACTCTGTGAATTTTTGCGAATACCTTTTGGTCTAAGAAACGCCACCCAAACATTCCAAAGATTCATAGACGACGTTTTTCGAGGTCTCAACTTCGTACACGCGTATGTTGACGACTGTCTAATCGCAAGTCCGGACAGAGAAACACATCTCAAGCATCTGGATCTTGTTTTCGAACGACTTCAAAAACATGGCATAACTGTAAACGTTCAGAAATGCCAAATCGGAACCGACTCGTTAGACTTCCTAGGACACACTATCGATGCTCAAGGCATTCGACCTCTTAGGACCAAAGTGGCGGCCATTCTGGATTACCCAGAACCGACCACCGTCAAGCAATTACGCACGTTTATCAGCCTCGTAAGTTTCTATAGATGATTCATACCGAAATGCGCACTACTTATGAAACCTCTGACCGACCAACTTCGTGGAAATGCGAAATCCATTAATTTGGACGACACCGCACGAAAAGCATTCTCCACAGTTAAGGAACTGATTGCTAAAGCAACGATGCTCGCACATCAGGACACCCGAGCACCCATTAGCATCGCAGTAGACGCATCCGACTCGGCAATCGGAGGAGTCTTACAACAATGGGTTAACAACTCCTGGCAACCCTTGGCATTTTTCTCTAGAAGGTTGCTAGACACCGAATCGAGGTACAGCACATTCGGTAGGGAACTCCTAGCTATGTATTGTGCTGTACGACATTTTCAACACTATATCGAAGGCCGTGAATTCACTCTTTTCACGGACCATAAACCGCTCACTTTCTCGTTAAGCTCTCCTTCTGACAAGTACTCTCCCCGTGAGTCTCGACAACTGGACTACATTTCGCAGTTTACTTCAGATATTCAACACATTTCTGGAGCAAACAATGTAGTTGCAGACGCCTTATCTCGCATAACTTCCTTGAACAGTTTCCAAGGAATCGACCTTCTTAAACTCGCCGAGCTTCAAAAAGAAGACAGTGATCTTCAGCACGAGTTATCGTCCACAACACTTAAACTACGCATCAAACAGATGGGAACAGGTAAGGAAACCTTACTTTGTGACACATCTACAGGTAGGGATCGCCCAATCGTGCCGAAACATTGTCGACACAATGTCTTCGATATGTTGCACAAACTTTCTCATCCAGGTGTTCGTGCAACCATCAAGCTTATAGCAGAAAGGTTTTGCTGGCCTGGAATGAATAAAGACGTGAGGGAGTGGGCACGCTCCTGTGTAAGCTGCCAAAAATCTAAGGTTATCAGACACAATAAATGTCCCTTAGGCTCGTTTAAAACTCCCGATGCTCGTTTCGACCATGTTCATCTGGATTTGGTAGGACCTTTACCAGACTCAAATGGATACTCTTATCTCTTAACCTGCGTAGACCGTTTCACTCGATGGCCAGAAGCAGTACCTATCAAGGACATCACTGCTGAAACAGTGGCCCGCACCTTCGTCGAACGATGGGTAGCAAACTTCGGCTGCTCTTCAACTATCACTACAGACCGCGGACGTCAGTTTGAGTCTGAACTTTTCCGTCGTCTGACCACTTTTCTAGGAAGCACTCGCTCCCGAATGACTGCCTACCCTCACAAGCAAACGGGTTGGTAGAACGCTTTCATCGACAACTGAAAGCTTCGCTATCAGCTGCAAACGCTTCACAGTGGACCGACGCTCTTCCAAGCGTCTTACTAGGTATCCGCAATGCAGTGAAAGCTGACATTGGATACACTGCGTCTCAACTCGTTTATGGAACGACACTTCGACTTCCAGGAGAATTCGTGGATCTTTCATCCTCTTCAATGAACATGGATCTAACCTCCTACACGAACAGGCTTACAAACGCAATGCGTTCAGTTAAACCTGCTTCCACTCGACCTCAATCAACTGATGTTTTCGTTCAACCTGACTTACGATATAG